TTTTTTTTTTTTTTTTTTTTTTTCCTGAGGACTAGTTGATAATTGATTAGTTGTTCGGTGGGGTTGTCTTATCTTTAACGTAACTAATATGCACATCCAAAAGCTTCTTTTACTAACATTGAGTCATGGCCAATTAAGCAGAAAGTTAACGAGAAGGAAGAGCACAAATCATGCAGAGCTGATATCAAGATAGTTTAGCAAAGAGCTCTCAGTAATTTTTCTTTATGCAGATTTATGAGTTCCCCCAACTCCCATCCCTCTTTTTAACCCCTAAAATCTTAAAAACTTTGAACTGTGGCGAATTTACAGAACCTTAGTCTTCTTTCCATATTGGACTTTCTGGTTGATAAATTTACTTTAGTCCTCACCAACCATTAACTATAATTATGTTTCTATTTCTTGTCTAGTACTTAGTACTCAATAAACATTTCTAAACTAATACAAGTTAGCTAATTTGGTGTGGTAGCTCTAACTACTAACAACCGTTAGTTCACCAAAGAATCCAGAGGAAAATTTAATTCTTAGGAAGAAAAAAATAACAAGGCAAAATGCAATTGAGTATTCAGGCAACAACAAAAATTGGATTAAATTCTCAAATTTCTTCAACTCAAGATACATGTTCCTAGCATCAATTCCAAAATTCAAGAAGATTTGGGAGAAGAAAAGGAGAAAACTGACCAAGAAATAAGGCAAAATGATGATTTTCTGAATGACAAGCCATTGAAGGCCATAACCAATAAGTCCCATAAAAGCAGCTATGAAAAGAACAACCCACAATGGGAAATACATAAGAGAAACTCCAGAACACCACCCAAATGCTTTCCCCATATCTGATGCCATTGACAGATAATTCAGCTGCACCTGTGAAATTCCCAGAACAGATTTCAATTCAGAAGAATAGGACGAGAAGTCGAAATTTGTCCCTGTAAATGCTTGAATCCATGTGCTTGCTATCAATATCATCCATTTACTTGAATATTGCTCCATAATTCTTCTTTTTTTTTTTTTACTGGGAATATTGTTGAGTCATGGAAGATATTTATATTTAAGAGGGGTTTTCTTGATCTTGGAGAATCTTAAAAGCGAAGAAATGATGATATTTTAGTTGTTCATGTTTTAGGGGTGGTTGGGAAGACGAGGGAGGTTGGAAGTTTTTCAGGTCATAACCACAAGGAAGTTAAAGAGTTTTCCTTCTTTTTTTTAAATTGTTTTTGTTGTTGTAATAATGCTATAAATGATAAATATTTGTTAAAAATAATAGTAACATATAAAGTTAAAATACTTCTAAGTTACTCCTACATTTTATATTACTAGTCTCTATGTGCGTGTCTCGCACGTAATACACAAAACTGCTTATATCTCGTTTGGTCAACCTGCAAAAATCAGCTTATTTTGAGAAGTGTTTTTTCTCAAAAGTATTTTTGGTGAGAAACAGTTTGTGTTTGACTAATTAATTTGAAAAGCACTTTTGAGCAGCAATTAGTATTTGGCCAAGCTTTAAAAAAACTATTTCTAAGTGTATTTTTCTCTAAAGTGATTTTGGAGAGAAGCTATTTTTTTCTGCTTCTCCAAAATTACTTCTGCTTCTCCTCAAAAACACTTTTTTTTTCCTTTTTAAAGCTTAATCAAACACCTTAATTTTAGAAGAAAATTATTTTTGACCAAAAAAAGTATTTTTGCCTCAAAAAAAGCTTGGCCAAACAGGCTAATAGCGTTGACATAAGAATATAGAAACTTGTTACTTGAAAAGTATTATTCATTATGAAAATATTAAAATTGTACGCCATTTTTTTTAGCTATTTATACCATGATTAAATACTTTATTATCACTATTATTTTTTAGTTAATTATGGACGAATTAGTTAAGGAAGACTATTGTGAACATATAAGCAGCGGCGGATGCACATGGGCACTTGTGGGTGCTTAAGCACCCATTAACTTTA